CGACTTGGTAGCGAACTATCTGTTTTCGTGACATCCCTACTTTGGACCTTTAAACCAAACACTTGACCAGTGCAGAGCCTTGTGTCCATACAAACAACCAAAACTACTGTGTGAAAGTGAGCCAGAGGGGCGGTAACAATAACTCACAGCATGAGTTCCTTGGATTGCTCCTTCTTAGCCAGCTGTTTCTCTCTCTCCTTCACCAGCGCCTCCTGCTTGGCCTTCATATCATTCAGTGTCACCAGACCTGATGGAGACATAAAAACAAACAAGAATCAGGTGGATATTTCCTCTCAGTGATGTTATCGCGTGCAGCGATTTCACGAGTTACCATACAGCGAGGCAAAATTGGGTAGCTTTTTAATGCTTTACTCTTTCTGCCTGTCAACCAGTCCAGGGGCCTCTCTCATTCACCGTAGAGTTACAGCAGGGGTCATGTGCAACAACAAAGGTACTCACCAACCGTGCTGGACTTCAGCTCTGCCTCCACTGCATCATAGTGAGCTGAGAACTTCTTATCGATGTTGGATTTGACCATGTTGTCCTGCAGAGGAAACAGACACACACACACACTACACACACACACACACACAGAAGGTGCGTTAGGTTATTTAACCATTCCTTGCATTTCGACTGGCTCATAGGAGGCTGTAAAATGTGTTACAGGCTTTATTTCACAACAAGGCTGACATTCTGTAATTATCATCAACTTGTCTCTTAAGACATAAAAACTCGATTTGTTCATGTCTCTGACTACATATACTAACACTAAAATACTGACAATATGCTACTTTTACAACGCATTTCTATGTATCTGTATCTTTGTTATCATGGATTATGTGTAGAGTTAGGCCCTTATTGATGTGTGTATGTCTATAAGTTAGCCCTACATGCCTGCAGCTATCAATGTTTCTTTGCAACTAGAGCAACAAACAAGTAAACTCCTCTAAAAGTCATGCTATATAGGCTCACTGTAAAACTGCATGTATGCTAGATCAAATATAACGGTGACCCCTTCACTGACCCTGCAGGTCGCTGTCCCTCAGGGCTCTAACGTTACACACTCATTATTTTTGACATTAGACATCATGTCATCAGCTCGCAGTAATACCACACGACTGATACACACGTTATAATACAGGGGTAAAAAGTTACAAACCTCTGCAATCTTCTGCTTAAGTTGCTCAAGCTGCTCTCTTTCTTTTTCTCGTTTCTTCATCAGCTGCATGGCTCTCCCGGCCTCGCTGGCAGCTCCTTTGTACTGCGCCATGTCGCTCTCTCTGTTTTCGACGCTTGCTTGTACGGAATTTAACACTCAAAGAACAGAAAGAAAAGTTCAATTCTAAAGTAAAACACAGATTTTTCCAGAAGTGTGAAGGAAGACCTCCCAGCACCAGCGCACCACAACAAGAAAAATGGCGGCGGTGACGAGGTGCATGCTGGGTAGTGTGATGTCTATGTTGCCTTCACGTTGCCCAGAAAACCTCGGAATTACGACCGAACGAAGTGACACATTACAGTCTATTGATGCGAAATTTAGAAAGATTTTTTTTTTCTCAAATCAACAATGCAGTATACATCAGAAAGAAACACATAATGTATTAAGGTTGGTAACTACTATTTTCGTCATTGATGACTGATTAATTGATGAATTAATACATTCTTTTTTGCAATTAATTGATCACTGTTGGTCAAGAAAAGTAGCAGACCGAGAAGCTGGAAACAGCAAATGTATTTGAATGAATTGTTTTGCTTGATAAATTACTTTGAAGAGGAATTGTACATTTCCAATTTCTGGAAAATTACTGCTAGCTAGTATTTACTGATTGATTGATTCAAAGTTATTCTAGACTGATCTGTTGGTGCAAAAGACATTTACATAGTCTATTTGGTCAAACAAAACAGATGCATAAAGAACTTATTCAAGGACATTCATTTTATTGATAACTTGATACAATTTTCTCAGAATTACATCTGAAGTCAGTGTAAAATAAACTGCAATAATGATAGTAATAATAATAATAATAATAATAATAATAATAATAATAATAATTTGTATGAATTGGCTTTACGTGTAGAAAACATATCAAATAGCATTACCATTGGGTTGTAGAACTGTGCCAATCAAAAACCTAAAAAAGATGCAAGCAAATTTAACCAAAATTCTCTCACTCTTTCGCACACTCAGTCATTCACTCGGCCACTCAGTATCACTCAATATTTCTCACATTCATACGGCCTCTTTCTCTCTCATTGGATGCCAGTCCTTGTTCGACAGGGAAATGGCTATTTGACTGCAGCAGAGAGCGAGAGACGTGCAGAAGGGAGAGATGAAAGCATTCACAGCACACATACACAAGGACCGCAGGCATGGAAGGAAGGTGTTGCTCAGCTGTATGCAAGGCACCACAAACCTAGAATAAGAGAGGGAGAGAGAATTAATTCATTGATTGTGTCTAAAATCTCTCTCTGTGTGTCATGACAGACTGAGGAGAGAAGACTGAAAAGATTTACATTGTGAGAAAGAAGATGTCATTCTGTAAACTTTTGGCAGTGTGAATCAAACTGAAGCCCTAGGGTCACGTAGGTAAGTGTAAAAACAACACATTGTGGTTTGGGGGTTATGTGACACACTCTTCTGGGCTCAGTGACTCCCTGGAGTTTCTGCTGGTGGCCTGGCAACCTCAAGGTGATAAAAAGACCCCCATATCCAACTTTTGGAGGGATTTAACTAACAACATAAAAAAGATAATTTTGTATGCTGAACGCTGCCTCCCTTATGTTCAACACGAGGAGATATTTGATGATGCTTCAAGAACTCCAATCACAGCAGGTGGTTCGGGCACATGCCTGCTGTGACATCCCTGATTAGGGTTGGGCCAGATGCTTTGAAGTTTCCACCTGAAGAGCACAGCGTCTGAGCCCAACAAGTAGTAAGTAAGCAGAAATCTTATTTTGGTTCATTGCAAGCATGATATCTTTATATTAAAATGTATCCTCTTTTTAACCCACTAAAATTACGCTCTTATCCCCTTTGGGGTCTTGAACCAAAGGGTTAAACAATAGTTCACAACTTTTCCCCAGTGTTTCTTTGTTTCTCGTGAATTTAGGATTTTACGCTTTCAGGCCTATAAAACTGAAACGATTTTTAATTAATCAATTGTTTAATTGAGAGAAATTTATTCGGCAAAATTTTTTATCACTGATTAGGTGTAGAACTGCAGTTCAAACAAAGCTACATTATGAAAAATGTAACATTGTACTCTGGGAAAGTGCATTTGCAACATATTGGTCATATTAACTGAGAAGGAACATGATCATTGATTGCAGGCATACTCCTACAAGTACTACCTTTATACCTATATATATATATATGTAACTACAAGAAGACTTTGCTTAACGTTAGGAGTCAAAACCAAAAACACTGGGACCCACTGGTGTAGAGCCTCTGTGCTAGTGTTTATTCACTGTGAGTGAGTGAACATGACACTGATGTAAATGCCTACATGTGCGAGCATTTTTATTGCACCAGCATACCAGACATGTAGACAGGCAAGAATGGCCAGGAAAATACCACACAGGAGAGCGAAGGGCACAGCAAACAGCAAGGAGAGGCAGCGGTACGTCCAGATACGAGCCTTCTCGAAGCCAACGACACTGTAGAGCCACACTTGGTCTATGCTACGAGGTGTGGCGGGCTCCGCCAGTACGTCACTAACCTCCACCTACAGGCCAGGGAACATATAGAACATATTAAATAAAAGACTGACGTGCTTTTTTTTTGCAGGTGAGACTGACTCCCACACAAAGACAGTTACTGTTTAGACGTGAAGAGATGAAAGCATAATTAAATGTGTATAAGCAGCATCGCACTGTTGAAGCAGGTCGAAGTGGAACAACTTTTAATTACTTTATTTACAGTTGGGTAGTTTAGTTCAGTGGTTCCCAATCTA